CACATCCCTCAGTCTCCGCAGTAAATTATTTCATTAATATATTCATGGACTATAATAACTATTCACAAATAAGACATGCCTCATTTTTCTGCATGCATTTATGGAAGAAGGTTGCACCGTGTGACTGAAGAGAAGGATGTGATCTAGAAGTAGAAGCAGCCCAGAATTAAGGACAGAAAGGTCAAATGAACCAAAAAAGAAAAAAAAACATATAATTAACATTAGGACATGCTAGAACAAAAGACAAACGGGTATCTTGTCTGATCTTTAATGATCTCAGAAAAATGGCATGCCCATTTCCTCGTGGTATATAAATCCCCTCGTGACCTTTGATTTTGTTTCTGTCTAGCCCCCCCCCAGCACCTGCAGATTCGAACCCTAGAGCACTTTTACTTTGACCCCAATTCAAATCCATGCCATACAATACAAACCATATTATATATATATATATATATATAATAAAAAATAAAAAATAAGGTTAATTGAGGTAGAGGAGGAGGGAAGGGGTCAGAAAGAAAGACAAAAGAGAGTGCGAGATTGAGAAGAGACAGAAGAAAGAACCTTGTAGGCTTGTCGTCGTATAGAAAAGAATACAGATTTTGATTCTTTTTCTTTGAGTTTTTCAGCTTAGAAAGAAGGAGAAAGGGTTTTCTAAGAAGAATATAATAGTTAAAAGTATATGGGTAGGGAACCCAGGAGTATCAATCACTCACTTGGGCATTTTAAATGTGGTGGGTTTTTATCCGTATTTGCTCTGTGTTTTAAGTTGTCTCGCATTGGAATTCTCGTATTTGGATAAAAATATCATAATTAGACTCTCATTAATAAAATTAAAAAAGCTGTGTGTTTTTCAACCTACTAATTAATTAATTTATATAGTTTCTTCTTTTGTTTGGTATCGGCGGTGGTCATGTGAGAGGAGGTGGGGTTTGGTTTCACTTTCACAGCGTTTTAGAAATTAGAATAGAATCTTCTTGCTCTTCAGCACATAGCTATCTAGAGAGAGAGAGAGAGATTGGGGGGTATGAGTTGTAGTTTAGGAGAGGATGGTTGTGGGTGTGATTTTGGTAGTGATGGTGGTGGTGGGCTCGTATAAGGATTCATGTCCAGAATTGCTGACAACTTGTGAAAGAAATCAGCCTTCGTTTTTTCTAGATTTCCATACTCTCTGTGGACCCATCCCCTCTCAACTCATCTCATATATGTCTTATATTGTTCAAACAAAGGGTAAAATTGCTTCATAATTAATTTTACCTCACCTTGCTACCACGCTTGATTAATTACTCAATCAACAAACAATCCATACGCTTCATCATGGTCACATAATTACGTTTGTTAATGGATTAGGCCGATTCTGCATGCATGCATGCCCATGATTTCTTGCACATTGAGTTTAATTAGGTATGGGTAATTTGCAAAGGCTTATAGTTCGAGTAGTTAAGAACAATTATCCACTCACACGATGTCCTGTGTTCAAATCGATTGTATAAAAAAAAATAAATAAATAAAAAAGGGTAGGAGATTAATCAAATGTGTACGTTGGGGTTGATGGGTCGGTTGGTGGGAGCAAAACTAGAGCCTAGAGATGGGTAATGTGTACACACATGCGGTAAATTCCCAAAAATGTGCATGTAACATGAACAAGGGAAAAGGGTGGTGGTAATAATTATATGTTATGCAAAGGAAAAAAACAAAACAAGAATCACGAGAGCGGTTACACCTACAGAAGCAGAAGCCCTTCAAAATAAAAAGGACTAGCTAGCTGCTTCTGTCTCTCCATGTCAGCCGCTGAAACGGTGCAGAGATCTCTGCTGTCTGCACAGAAGAGTGCAGGGTTTAAGATGTATGTGTGGGCCGAGCTGGGAGAGAGAAGAGAAGAGAAGGGCAGGACCAAGAACGTAGTAGAAGATGTGTGTTCTTCTTCTCATGCTAGGGAGAAAAAACCATTAAAATTTTCCCATTTTTATTGAATATCGGGACTTGAAGCTGGACACTGCTTCTTCATGCTATTTTCTATACATATTAATTTCCCCCCTTTTTTTTTGTTTAATTATATAAACTTCTGCAGTGTGCCAGTGTCACATGCAAATATTAATTTCTATACCTACATATTCGTTAGGGATGTTTTCCTTCTCTATCCAGTCTATTTGCCTTTTGTATACTTGATATTTTGTTAATAAAACTGATTTTTTTTTTTCTTTTTCATAGGTACTTGCCCATTCTAGCCCAAAATAGAGATTACCACAAAACTAAAAACAAATGTAAGGGGCTTTTAGTTAAAGTGGGTAAAAGTATTTATTTATGCACTCGAGGTTTTAGGTTTGATTTCCCCCTCCTTCAATATTGCATGTATTAAAAAGAAAAGAAAAGGAAAGGGAGGTTATTGGAAAGTAATGCTTTCACATAGAAGTATGTATTTCTCAATTTTCTCCCTCCTTTAATATTACTTGTATAATTTAAGTTTTAAACATAAAAAAAAAAATCTTGAAAGTAAAAAGTAAAAAAAGGATTAATGATATGGTGATGAACATAAATTTGCACCGATTTCAAATGAGGGGAGCGCCGAGAAAAACTGTAAAAAGTGAGAAATTATAGGGGGGTGGGGAAGTGAAGTTGGGACAGTTTGATGAGTTTAACTTTGTTTTTCCAATAATGAGAATGATAGGCCATAATGAAAATAATCAGTTGAGTATCTTTGTGAAATAATTAGCCATCATTTTCCTATTGTTTTCACTTTGCACCCTGGAACATCTGATTGTGTCCCTACTCCCTCCCTCCCTACCCCTCTACTTCCTTGCAGTCAGGCTTTCACTTATCACAAAATAAATCCCATATCCTTTACCTCTTTTTTTTTTTCCTGCTAGTGCCCACTTCATTATTACATTGAATTTCATGCAATCTAGCTAGCTTCTTCAAAATTCCCACATTAAATTGTCACACTTCAAAAATTCAAAAAATAAAACATGGCTTTAGAATCTAGATCACATCAATTTATGACGCTTTTTTTTTCTTTTAATTTTGAAAATGAAAAGTGAATCACTTTGGTTGTGTGGCAGAGGTCATTATTATTTGATTCTCAATGGGATGAAAATTAAACATATGTTTTGCCTTGCCTCCTCCATCCTACTCCTTTTCACAGAGTCTGTGCAGAGAGAGAGAGAGAGAGAGAGAGAGAGTAGTGTGTGTAAAAAGAAAGAATATTTCTTGGGGCATTACAAAAGAGATAGAGGGAGGAAAAGCTGTAAATATTAATTTTAATTTTCTTTTCAGTTGTTGATTCATGGAAACTTTTAGGGTCAATAATTCAATGGATCACCTGGACACGTCAGCAGAGAAGCCGAGCCGAGAGTGAGCAAGAGCCAAACTACGAAAGCAGCTGGCTGGCACAGGGAGGGAGAGAGAGAGAGAGAGAGAGAGGCAGAAGAATTGTAGGCTAGTGAGTAAAGGTTGTAGTGGCCAGATAGAGCATGTCTAGGTCTCTTTAGCCCTGATGGTATATTGAAGTTTGGAATATTATGGCAGCAAAAAAAAAAAAAAAAAAAAAAAAAAAAAAAAAAAAAAGAAGAAGAAGAAGAAGAAGAAGAAGAAGAAGGAAGAGAGAGAGAGAGAGAGAGAGAAGCAAGCAAAATAGAAGAAGAAGGAGAAGAAAATGTCGTCATGAAGAAGAAAGAAACAGGCTTTAAATCCCATCACGTAGTTCGATGTATCCTTTACCTTATATCTTCCAGCTCTCTAGAGAGAGAGAGAGAGAGGAGAGAGATACAAGTAAGTAAGTAAGTAATAGTAGAAGTAGAAAATGATGGGGGATTAGAAATTGGAGACTGTGTTTTTGGTTTGGTGCCTCAGACTTATTAAACAACAAAAGCTAACTTACAAATCGAAAAGAGCACACTCGTTTGACGTGAACCCCAACCCAAACCTTTCCTTTCTTCTTCCTATCTTTTTTTTCTTTTCACATTGCCCTCAACCCAACTAATAATATAATGTTTCCTTTGACCAACATACCCTTCTAGGCTTCTCCTCCAAGATTCTCTTCAAATAACCATGCATTTTTTCGACCAACATATATACCCTAGCGTTTCACGAGTAATTGATACATAATATTCCCAGTTTATTTTTTTAGGGCATACTTTTGGGTTACATTGAAAACATCACTTGTCGAAATATATGATTAGACATGATCTGTACATTTACATGCAAAGCTATGCTATTTGTCGAGGGCTGGGTTGCATTAAATGGGATGGTACAAAACCACTAACATCAAAGCACAAGCTCAGAAGCAGAAGAAGCTCAGTAGCAGAAGCTGCACAACTGTATATACCACAGGCGGCTCTAAACAGGTCCAGGCCTAGCAAAAGGAAAAGGAATTATAGACATGTATAGCTTCTAAGTAACCAACCAGACCAAGTTTTTGACTGTGTCTATTGAGTACAAAAATCAATAAATGAAAGGAAAAAAAAGAGGAAGGTGGAGGGAGGGGCACCATGGTCATTTCAGAACACACAATGGGACGGGAGGGTACACAGACACTGCACCATCCTCCTCCTGTGCGTGATTTTTAAGTGGGTGTGCGCGGGATCGATTGTCAGTACAAAAGACAGTATGTATGTGAGAGAGAGAGAGAGAAGAGAGGAGAGAGAGAGAGAAAGAAGAGGTCACGGGTTTGTCTTGAAAGGCCCTTATTTCACAGTCCTAGACAGACAGACACATATTCTCTCTCACTACATAACCGAGGAGGGAAACAAATTTTAATATTATCATATATCATATCATATCCCCAGTTTATTTCATTAAAAAAAACCACAGAAACAAAAACAAAAAGCAAATAAACACAACACACTACTAGCTACTACTAGTACACCACAAACCACCCCTTTTTCTCCAACATTTTTATCCCCCAACTTTCTCACACAAACATTCATTCTCTCTCTCTCACTCTCTCTCTCACAAGAAGCTCCATTTCTTCTTCTGAGCTCAGATCTCTTTCTCTTGTCAAATCAATGGCTCTCATGATGGACAATTGTGAGGGCATATTGCTCTCCCTGGACTCGCACAAGTCGGTGCCGGCTCCCTTCCTGACCAAAACGTACCAGCTCGTGGATGATCCGGCCACCGACCACATCGTCTCGTGGGGCGAGGACGACGCCACCTTCGTCGTTTGGCGCCCTCCCGAGTTCGCCCGGGACCTCCTCCCCAACTACTTCAAGCACAACAACTTCTCCAGCTTCGTCCGCCAGCTCAACACCTACGTACGTGATAACATACATAAAATTCATCACACAATTTTTTTTGGTTTTGTTCGTGTGTTTTATTTGATTTTCACTGACGGAGTCGTTTTTTTGTTGTTGGGGTTTCTAGGGTTTTAGGAAGATTGTACCGGACAGATGGGAGTTTGCGAACGAGTTCTTCAAGAAAGGAGAGAAGCATTTGCTCTGTGAGATCCATAGAAGAAAGACAGCTCAGCCTCATCAGGTGGGTTTCAGCCACCACCACCACCACCACCACAACCCGCATTCGCCACTCGGCATCAACGGCCACCATCATCCGAGCTTCTTCCCCTTCCCGAGTCGTGGCAGCATCTCCCCCTCCGACTCGGACGAGCAGCCCAACTGGTGTGACTCGGACTCACCACCTCTCCCATCCCCAACCGGAGGTATTAACAATCACAACAACAACAATAATAATTTTATGAATATTAATAATGCGTCGGTGACGGGCTTGGCGGAGGACAATGAGAGGCTGCGGCGGAGCAACTCCGTGCTGATGTCAGAGCTAGCCCACATGAGAAAACTCTACAACGACATCATCTACTTTGTTCAGAACCATGTCAAGCCTGTGGCTCCAAGCAATTCCTACCCTTCTTCTTTGCTTCTCTGTAACCCTCCGAATTCCATGGCTCCAGCTGCTACTGCTACTAAGCCTAGTAATTTCAACCAGCTTCTTGGGTACTATCCAGCTCCTGCTACAAATGCTAAGCAAACCCCTCACATGTCTACGACGACCCACCATCATGTTATGAACTCTTCCAGCCCGAGCAACACCACGTCCAAGAGCAGCTCAGTGACTATTCTTGAAGACCAGCAACAACCCAGTAGCAATGGGTGCAAAAATACCAAGTTGTTTGGGGTGCCGCTGCTTCACTCGAAGAAGCGGTTGCACCCGGAGGAGTATGGCTCGAACCATGGGACCAGCATGATGGAGGCCAGCAAGGCTCGTCTGATTTTGGAAAAAGATGACTTAGGTCTCCATCTCATGCCTCCCTCCGCATGTTAGCTGAGCTACTTATTATTAGTTTGCTTTCCTCCTCACTCATCAAATCCCACATTCAAAACTTTGAAAGGTTATATCTTTTTGATATTTTACATTTTTTTTTTCCTTCTTCTAGTTTTTCTTGGTTGATTGTATTTTGGGTCTGATGGGATGGAGTCAGATGATCGATATTGTTGATGATCAAAAGTATTATGTGTGTGCGTGCGTTTGGGTGTTTGTGATCGACGGCTACTACTACTCTGATCTGTATATATAACTTTAGTGAAGATGTTAAATTTGAAGTTGAAGTTAAAAATGGCCATGTTTTTGTTTTAGCTGATCTCTTGATATTCAGGTGGTGCAATTTATTACTGATCTCGATTATCGCATCTCTTTTTTCTCCTTTCTTTCTTCTTCTTCTTCTCTGCAGTTTCTGAGCTTTATCCCAGAATGTTTCAGTTACATTAATGCCTCAGACTCACAGGGAGAGAGAGAGAGAGAGGGTATTGATAGCTTCTTGCCATTGAAAGAAAGGCTGAGGATATACAGTCTGGTTCATTGACAATTTTCTCTAGGGCTTTCTCTGATTAGCCCATCCATTAATGGGTCATACGTACAACTGTGAGTCTGTGACCCTTAAAATACTTGGCTTAAAAAAAGAAGAAAAAAAAGGAGGAAAATGAAGGGTAAGTAAATAATGGTTAAAAATGAAAAAGCAGTTGACAGACACAGCATGACAATTCGTTGTTCAAAATCAAACTATGATCAGTGTAATAATTATTATTATTATCTCTCATCAGTCCTCACTCGCACTCTATAATTGTGAAAGAAGAAAGTATACTATGATTTACTGAAAAGAAAGCCATCATGTCGTTGGATCAAGGTTATAATCTCTATTTCTCGTTTCCATGAAACTGTCAGTGCTCACGCAGGAAAAAACAAATACATACAAACATACAAATACAGACGTGTTGTTGTAGTAAAAAAGAAAATGAAAACAAACAACCAAAAAAAAGAAGTGGGGTTTTCGATGAAAGCGAAATGTTAGAGAAACTGACTGAAAAATGTGGGTTTGAAATGTTTCTATCAATGCTTCTATCAATGCTTCTATGCTTCTTCTTCTTCTTCTTCTTCTTCTTCTTCTTTGGACCAGAAACCTTTGCCTTTTCCCACTTTAAGTATCTCTCTCTTCAACGTCTTCAAACCCTTCTTTGAATCTTCCCTTCTATATCTTTCTCCTTCCCCTTCTTTCATTTATTGCATGCTCCTCTCTCTCTCTCTCTCACCCCTTCTGTTCTTTGGCTTTGATAAAAGTTTGACCAAACATTATTTCCGAATCCACAGGTTACACGTATGGCATTTTTTTGACCCTTCGTTTGTTAATGTATTCGCAAGTTGGGACCATTAAAAACTGTGTGAGTGTGCGAGACGGAGATCTATTTCAAGAGTCTGGAAAAGATAAGTGAGGAGAAATTAATATAGAATCAATCAGAAGTAGAATATCTTTGTCGCACTTGTAAAATGGTTTTGGTTTTTAGTTTTCGTCTTATAGCAAAAATAAAAAATAGAAGAAAAAAAAACCCTAACCCTAGATTGACACAAGTCACCACCATTATGCCCCCTTCTAAGCTTTTGTCCTTTATCGGGTCGTCGCACGTGACTGGAAGTATGAACGTGCTGTGTGTCACGTGCATATAGAATAGAAGAAGAAATAGAAGTTTTCACTAGCATGCTTTTGGTCCAATAGTAAGAGGCTTAAAGAGTAAAGGGGGGGTGATGGGCTGCAAAAGTGGATACGGATCATCCGGGTAAAAGATGCTTTAAGGAATTTGAGGGATTTATTGGACCACGAAATTGGCCATTGGGTTGGGTGTTCTTGAAAGCTTAAAAAGGGCAAAAAGGAAAATGTTGCTACGTTTGAAGTCTTTTTTGAATACACTTTGTTGACATTTTTCTTCTTCTTTCTTTTGGTATGTCACACTTTTTTCACAAGTTAAGAAAATAATAGTGTGATATTTTATTGGCAAATTAACAAGTACACACGATTGCAAGAATTGTATTGGTAGGAGATGCCATGTGTTAGGGGGAACCTAAAACCACTTTAAAGTAGATTTCTTTTTCGGCACTATATATAGAACATAAAAAGATCAAATATAGAATAATACTTTGATAGATTCATCATTTTCTTCTTTTATAAATGCTTTATCGTGTTTTCAAATATAAAATCGGAAGTCTTTTTATATGTGCGTGTTCGTGTCGAAAGGGTTTGTCAAATAATTAAGAAAAATAAAATTAAAGGCTATAGTAAGCATAACAAAGAAAGACTGTCTTTTTATATTGCACTACTTTTCTTTTTCTTCATTTTTTTGTTTGTTTTATTTCACCAAATCCTAAGCTTTCTCCCTTTATATGAAAGTATTTTCATATCGTTGTTATTCGTGGTTAAGTTTAGTTGTGTAAATTTTCATATAAGGATCCCCCTCTTTTTGCTTTTTCTAGAGTTCATTTCCAAGTCCTCAGTTTCTCAAAATGAGTGATATTTAGAAATCCTCAAATTTATGAATTTCAAATTTACCTCTAAAATTTTACCTATCCAACATGCATGAGAGGGAAAAAAAGGAATCAAAAGAACTTTCCTAAAATAGAGGGATGCATTTAGGGGTCGTTAAGCTTGATGGATTAAAATTTGGTCTGACCTGATGATTAGGTCCATTTGGCCCAGTCCGTTTTAAGGTGGGGTAAGATTTGGGCTTAGGTTTTTAACCCTTCAAGCCGCCTTTAGCCCGACCTGACAAGGCCTGCCCATGACCTGGTTTGGCTCGACCCGAGTAAGTCCGCTTATTGCCTTGTTGTTTTTTGTTTCCCCTTATATTACCTTATTTCCATTCTAAACATTTAAGTAAATGTCTTGTTTTTTTACTTTTTTTTAAAATTTTTTTTTTTTTATATTACTACATATCATACTTGAAAAACAATTTTAATCAAAATTTGAATAAGTATGAAAAATAAACTTTTGAAATACTAATGTTTTTAATGATATTTTTGGTAGTTTATATTCCTTACAACTTAAATAATCAAACACGATTTTATGAGATTTTAATACAAAGTATACATTGACTATTGAGGTATCAATATATGTACAAACTTTATCTTATACTAAACTAGATTTTCATATTTTGATTTGTTGGGAATTTGATTTTCTAGTATTATTTATTGAATCCAAATAGGGGGTACTTACTTATTTACATTGTAAACTTAAGTAAATGAAGTAATATAAAAATAAATTAAAGTAAAAAGACAATACATTTACTTCAATGTTTAGAATGGAAATAAGGCAAAATATAAAATAAAATAATAACAAAAAGCAATGGGTGCCCCTGCCCGAAAAGCCCACTTATGCTCGGGTTGATCGCTTTGAAACCTCGGCCCAATCCAGCTCGAAAAATGAGAAGGCCCATAAAGGCCTGGCCCAAACTCAAAAAATTTCGGGTGTGTTTTGGTGCCTTCAACTAATAGAAAAGTGTTTTAGTGCCAAAAATAGAATGTTTCTATTTTGTTGTAGTTCTTTCTTTTTTGGGATAGCAAGGTGGAGTGTGAGTTTTTTTCTTCTTCTTATTTTTTGGGGTCTGAAACGAGTTTAAGTAAATATGATTTTTTTGAGAGAGGAAGTATGTTAAAGATTACAAAACATCATGCCCTTGTAGCTCAAGTGATTAATGACATATTTACTAATCTGTAATTGAATTATGAGGAATTGAATTGAGGATAATTAGATGGATTCCTATTGAAGTTGTTTACTAAACCATATGGATTGAGTGGAGTTAGATTTTGGATTCATATTGAAGTTGTTTACTAAATCATATGAAATTGGGATATGAGTGCTACTAAGTACTAAAATGTCCTCGTTGTTAGGTTAAAGTAAATGACAAATTTAGAATTTTAAAAATTGTATGAGGATATAATGGGTAAAAAAGATGAATTCTTAATGGGTTAGTTTTCCAAGAATTAGAATATCACCTCCCACCCAAGAATTGAATTCCTCCAAAATCAGGAATTCAATTTCTAATTTTGTGTGGGCCCACTTACTTTTCAATTCATTGATGTAAAGTAAATGCAGGAATTCTCCGTAAGTGGAATTTAATTCCTGATTAATAAACACATCATAAGAGTATTTACTCTTGCACTCGAGTTCTTAGGTTTAATTCATTCCCCCTCCCCAATATTGCATCGCTTGTATCACAAAAAAAAATATATATATTACAAAACATCACACCATGTTGGGCCACAAAGGATTTTAAGACCAAAATTGAAAGGAAAAGAAAAGCCCGTGGGCTGTACAATCCGTTACGCGTTGTTGTTGGGCATGCCAGTTCAACCGGTCCAAATCATAAATGTGGGTTGAGTTTGACCCATGGGTTGAATTAACTTGCCAATGGGCTAAATCATTAATGTTGGCTTGGTTGGTTTCCTTCCAGAGCCCCCAAAACATACGTGAAAAAAGGATACAAAAAAAATCCATGTTAAAATATTTAAGTACTGCAAAATTTCAAAATTGTTTTGTTGAGTAATTATAGAATATTACGGTAGTACGATAACATGGTATATCTTGTACACGTGTTATAAGTGGATATTTATTGATATTATTCCTTAAAAGGGAGAAATTAAACTATATCGTTCACTCATATTATAACACGTGTACAAGATATAACACATGACCATATTACCGTATTATTATATAATTTCTCATTTTATTTGTAAATTATACTAAGATATTTTTTTAAAATTTAATTTTATACGAGCGATAATTGTACTGATATTTGAATTACTCCATTATTGCAACATTCATCTTTTCTAACATGTCCTTGAAATCATGGCCCATTCATGTTTCCATTTTCAACGGGCAGCCACAGGATTGTGAGATATGGTTCGATCATCATGTTGACTTAATTGGAATTTAAAATTTGGGGAGAGGTTGCAGAGACTTATCGCCATAAATGACAAAAATGATGGATCAAAAGTTCCAG